TGCTCCTTGCTGTGAAGGCCAGTTGTAGATTGGAGCAGTGGCCGTTTTTTTGTACTGTTGATATGCTGGTGAGAGAGCGCACTGGACACCCTTGCTGCCATTGTGCTGTATACTGGGTGTAGGGCTGCTGTTAGAAACCACATGGCCCCATACAGCCAACCTGACAGGGCCCCCCAAAGAAAACAAAGTTTACTATGCTGCAGTTATGAATGAACACAGTGAGTGATCAGTACCGATCATTCATTGTGTTCATTCAGGAGAAAAAAAAAGAGTCTGGTATATATGAGGAGGGAAGACGGAAGCACTGCAGGGGTGGAGGCACACAGGGGGGCCTGGGCAGCAGGGGAAACGTACGTGCACAGGGAGGTGATGGGAGCGGTGTGGGGGGATTACTGGAAACAATCCCCTGTATGGCTCTTTCTGCAGCAGCTGAAAGCCAGCGGGAGGGAGAGGAGAAAAGGCCAGCTCTCATCTGCTGCAGAGAAAGGCATACAGGGCATTGGTTCCAGTAATTAACCCCCCACCATGCCAATCCCCCTCCCTGCCTACATCCGATTCACCCTGCTGCCTGGGCCCCCCTGCTGGCGTGGGCCCCGTACAGGAGTACTGGTGTTACCCCCTTATCCACGGCCCTGGCTGGGTGTCCAGTGCGCCCCTGGTCCTTTAACCGCTAGCCCACCAGGCACTTATACCCCCTTCCCGCCCAGGCCAATTTCCAGCTTTCAGCGCTTTTGCACTTTGAATGACAATTGCGAGGTCATGCAACATTGTACCCATATGAAATTTTTATTATTTTTTTGTGACAGATAGAGCTTTCTTTTGGTGGTATTTAATCACCTCTCGGTTTTTTATTTTTTCTTGAACAAACTAAAAACCACTGAAAAGTTTAAAAAAAAAGTTTTTTCTTAGTTTTTGTTATAAAATTTTGTAAATAAGTGATTTTTCTCCTTCACTGATGTGCGCTAATGAGGCTGCAGTGATGGGCACTGATAGGCTGCACTGATGGACACTGATAGGTGGCACTGATGGGCACTGATGAGGAGGCACTGGTAGGTGCCACTGATGGGCATTGACAAGCATCACTGATGGGCACTGAAAGGCAGCACTGATACATGACACTGATATATGGCACTGACTGGCAGCAATGATAGGCGGCACTGACTGGGCTGATACTGACTGGCACTGATAGGCGGCACTGACTGGCACTGATAGGTGGCACTGACTGGTACTGATAGGCGGCACTGACTGACATTGATAGGTGGCACTGACTGGCACTGATGGGTGACACTGAAAGGCAGCTCAGATGGGCACTGATATGTGGCATTGATGTGCCACTGATGGGACACTGGCACGAGGCACTGATGAGCACTGACACAAGGCACTGATGGACACTGGCAGGTGGCACCGCTGGGGCTACACTGATCATCAGGGCACACTGATCATCAGTGCCATGATGATCAGTGTACATGTCCCCTCCGCGGAAAGCCGATTACCGGCTCTCCTGTCCTCATGAGCTGTCAGCGTGACAGCTCGAGAGAAGAGAAATGCCGATAACCAGCATTTCCCTGTTTACATGTGATCAGCTGTGATTGGACACAGCTGATCACATGACCGAGCCGACATCTTCGGCTCTTTCCGTGATCGTTGATCCGCTGTGTCCGAAGGACACAGCGTACGCCGATTGCCGCACTGCACGCTCCTGGAGCCGCGCATGCGCGGGTGAGAATGGGAGGACATCATATGACATCCTCCCAGAACAAGAGAACCACCTTGCGTCCGTCATATTACTATATGGCGGGCGGGAGGTGGTTAAGGAGGGGTGGGCTCCCTCAGGCTCACCTGCCCTCAGTCTATCCATTTATACATGTGCTTCTACTATGGGGGATCTCAACATTTAGAGTTAGGAACTGCAGAATATTGGGGTGCTGCGAAGAGGCCGTGCTGCTTATACATGTATTTGTAAATATGTGCTAACTAAACCCCTGTTTTTAACTGTTAGACAGGTTAATTCGGGTTGTTTGCAAGCTGGTCGGTAAGTTGAGCTGGGAATTTTTTCTCTTTATTGTTTAACAGCATAAACTAATACAGGTGGGGACACATGGCAGAGATGCATGTGCTGCAGGGAGGCTCTTGCTGGCAGGTAGGAGAACTGGGGGCTGCTAGTCCTTGCAGCACAGCGCCACTAACTGCTGGAGAAGGGAACAGCGGGTTCATTACATTTTTAACCTCCCTAGCGGTATGATTATTTCAGATTTTTGGTGCTGAAAGCGGTACCATTATTTTGCATGGAAATATGTAGTTTTTTTATTGTAGGCTGTAATTTTTAGGAATAACTCACTGAAATCTGTCCGAACAAAAGTCTAGTAAACATCCCGGGTAGGATAAAATTGGAAACACGAAATCATAAATTATAATTGAATAAATAATCATAAAAAATAATAATATAATAATAATACATTTAATTCAATAATATAATCAAACCGAAAACACTGAAATTTGAAATAGAGCGCCAAGTTCGTACATTGCTGAGTCGCAAAATCGTTTTCAGTGTCTGATGACGAATTTCCCCCACGAATCATTATCACGTAATTCTGCAAGTGGTTCTGATTTACTATCGCTGTTCTCTAGCCAGTCTAAAACTGATTTTGACCTAAAGGGACGCTTTTTTGGACGCCATGGACGTTTCCAGGCAGAAAGAACAGACAAAATGCAGGCAGGGCACAGGACAAAGCACTCGGGACAAAATGTATGTGAAATGGGTTGAAACAGCAATGTTTTACTATGAAAAATGTGTTTTGAAAAAAAAAAAAAAAATTTAAAAATTTTCAAATTTCCCGCCGGCAGCGGCGGCGGCGTCTGTACGTCCCGACGTCACAGGGACCGGAACACAGAAGCCGGATGCCGGCATCGGCTGGAGGAGATGGCCGGGGACGCTGCAGGGGACGCATCACGGGAGCGCAGGACAAGGTAAGTTCTGCAGGGACTCCCTATGCAGCGCCGCATGGTAAGCCCGAGTGTAGCTCGGGGTTACCGCTTTTGGCACTGACATTTTTACCCGAGCTACACTCGGGAATACCGCCAGGGGGGTTAATGGATTTATGATAGAATGTCTCTTTAACCACTTGCCTGCTGCCCTATAACATGAAATACTGCTCCAGGGTGGCAGGGCTGCACAAAATCATGTATATATACGTGATTTTGCATTTCCGATAGCGGCTTCAGCTGTCAATCACCGGGTCCCAACCGGTGATTCCCACCGGCACCCGGCGATCGCCGAGTATCACTGACAGGGGAGAGGTCTGTATGTAAACAATACTGTTTTCTTCCCTGTGAGCCCCAGCACACTGCTTTGTATCTGCTAGCTGCAATATATTGATCTGCTTACACTGTAAAACACACACATGGCACACATAGTATAACAGCACACAATTAACCCTTTGATTGTCCCACATGTTAACCCCTTCCTGCCCAGTGTCATTAGTACAGAGTTAGTGCTTTTTATTAGCACTGATCACTGTATTGGTGTCACTGACAGTCAGTGACAGTTACTCAGTTCCCCCCCAGTGTCAGAATGCCCGCCGCAGTCCCGCTATAAGTCCCTGATTGCCGTCATTGCTAGTATAAAAAAAAATTCCAGTATCTATACTGCCATTTGTAGACGCTATAACTTTCACTCAAACCAATTAATTTACTTGTATTGGGTTTTTCTTTGCAAAGACATGTAGAGGAATACATTTTGGACTAAACTCATGACGAAATTTGATTTTTTTAACATTTTTTTACTGGATATGTTTTATAGCAAAAAGTAAAAAATATTGTTTTTTTCTTAAAATTGTCGGTTTGTTTATGGTGCAAAAAAATAAAAACTACAAAGGCGAAAGAAAGCTCCATTTGTGGGGAAAAAAGGGACATAAATTTCATATGCGTGCAGCGTTTGCATGACCGCGCAATTGTCAGTTAAAGTAATGCAGCCCCGTATTGCAATAAATGGCTTGGTCAGGAAGGGGGGCAAATCCTCTGGAGGGCAAGTGGTTAGTTCAATTTATATAAATGTTTTTAAATCAATGAAAAATGGACAATGAAAGTAAATCAGACACAACTAGGCTCCTGCAAGGATTTAAATAGTCAGTCTTAGGCTGAGTTCACCATATGTGCAGTGAATGGTATTTGTAAAACGCCCGTCATTGCAAAGACACACAGAAAACAATTGTTTTCTGTTTGTCCCATTCACACTGCAACACAGCCTGGAGCTGTGCTGCATCAATCTGCAATAAAATGCAGACATGCTACATTTTATTGTAGCACAACATACAGGATTGCATGTCACTGTACAGCAGCACAGCGCATTGTGCTACTGTACAGTGATATGAATGAAGTGTACTTTTGTATACTTCAAAAGAAAGTTTGGTAAAAAAAAGGGATCTGTGGGATGCACTGAATTGTGTACTACACCTCTCCCTACCACGGCTGTGCGAATTAGCCCTTAAAGTGTTACTAAACCCACAACAGTACAATCAGTCTGTAGATGCAGTAAAGCATGCTGGTTATACGCACTGTGGAACCTAAGGGGTTAATCCTCTGCATTGTGTAAAAAGGCCATTTGATCCTGTTTTCTCTGCCCCTCCTCTTGTTCAAATGTCCACCTGATAAGACAGACTGAACCTATAGCCACATGCACATGCTCAGTTTAGTGTGAATTGCTAGAGAGGTTTTTTTTTCTTGGGAGAGTGCATGTGATTAGCACAGGGCCAATCAGCACTGTCCAGACAGAGGTCATGGGTTTTGCATCCTCCTAGAGCAGAAAGAAAACTCCTTCTACAAGCTTTAACCAATACTCTGCTGAACACTGATAGAAGTCACAAGATTGCTATATACTGATGGTGAGAAAAGGTATTTAGCAGTTAATATTTACTATAATAATTGCATTTCCATGTTCTGTGTGAGACAAGATATAATCAATGCAGGGTCTGGGGAGACCAGATATAGTGAATGCAGGGTCCTGGGAGACCAGATATAGTGAATGCAGGGTCCGGGGAGACCATATATAGTGAATGCAGGGTCCGGGGAGATCGGATATAGTGAATGCAGGGTCTGGGGAGACCAGATACAGTGAATGCAGGATCCGGGGAGACCAGATATAGTGAATGCAGGGTCCGGGGAGAGCGGATATAGTGAATGCAGGGTCTGGGGAGACCAGATATAGTGAATGCAGGGTCCGGGGAGACCAGATATAGTGAATGCAGGGTCCGGGGAGACCAGATATAGTGAATGCAGGGTCCGGGGGAGACCAGATATAGTGAATGCAGGGTCCGGGGAGAGCGGATATAGTGAATGCAGGGTCTGGGGAGACCAGATATAGTGAATGCAGGGTCCAGGGAGACCAGATATAGTGAATGCAGGGTCCGGGGAGACCGGATATAGTGAATGCAGGGTCCGGGGAGATCGGATATAGTGAATGCAGGGTCTGGGGAGACCAGATACAGTGAATGCAGGGTCCGGGAGACCAGATATAGTGAATACAGGGTCCGGGGAGACCAGATATAGTGAATGCAGGGTCCGGGGAGACCAGATATTATGAATGCAGGGTCCAGGGAGACCAGATATAGTGAATGCAGGGTCCGGGGAGACCAGATATAGTGAATGCAGGGTCCGGGGAGATCGGATATAGTGAATGCAGGGTCCGGGGAGACCATATATAGTGAATGCAGGGTCCGGGGAGGATATAGTGAATGCAGGGTCCGGGGAGACCAGATATAGTGAATGCAGGGTCCGGGGAGACCAGATATAGTGAATGCAGGGTCCGGGGAGACCAGATATAGTGAATGCAGGGTCCGGGGGAGACCAGATATAGTGAATGCAGGGTCCGGGGAGACCAGATATAGTGAATGCAGGGTCCGGGGAGACCAGATATAGTGAATGCAGGGTCCGGGAGAGCGGATATAGTGAATGCAGGGTCTGGGGAGACCAGATATAGTGAATGCAGGGTCCGGGGGAGATATAGTGAATATATAGTGAATGCAGGGTCCTGGGGAGACCAGATATAGTGAATGCAGGGTCCGGGGAGGGGAGAGGGTCCGGGATAGAGCGGATATAGTGAATGCAGGGTCTGGGGAGACCAGATATAGTGAATGCAGGGTCCTGGGAGACCAGATATAGTGAATGCAGGGTCTGGGGAGACCAGATATAGTGAATGCAGGGTCCGGGGAGATCAGATATAGTGAATGCAGGGTCCGGGGAGACCAGATATAGTGAATGCAGGTCCGGGAGACCAGATATAGTGAATGCAGGGTCTGGGGAGACCAGATATAGTGAATGCAGGATCCGGGCAGACCAGATATAGTGAATGCAGGTCCAGGGAGACCAGATATAGTGAATGCAGGGTCCGGGGAGACCAGATATAGTGAATGCAGGGTCCAGGGAGACCAGATGTAGTGAATGCAGGGTCCGGGGAGACCAGATATAGTGAATGCAGGGTCCTGGGTTTATTAACACTTTAAGTCCTCATGCACACTTGACGTTTTTACAGCGGCTGTTTTTGGCATTTAACATTTTTTTCTACATCCAGTAAAACCCCCAGCATGTTATCCTATGTGTCCATACACACATAGACTGTAATCAATGTTTTTTGGCTGGGACATTTTTTAACTGAAAAAAAATCCCAGGACTAGTGGGTTTCTATGGGAGTTTTTTTAGCTGTAAAAATGCTCTAACGCTGAATAATGTGATAAAACGCCAGACTTTTTTTGAACAAAAAATTTTTTTTCGTAGAAAAAAAAAAATGCTAAAAACCGCAAATGTGGGAAAACGCTGCTAATCGCTAATGCAAAAACTCAAAAAAAAAGCATAAAAAAAACTCACGTTTTTAATGTGACTTTACCCAGCGTTATGAAAACACCCAATGTGCATGAGGGCTAATGCTTATTGCCAAGATTATTAACAATAAACTGAACATGACTATGTAGCTCCACCCCTGCAGGAGCCGCTGATTATGTTGGGTCCTCTGTTCTTACCTTAACCCCTTGATGCCGACGGCACACAAATATGCGGCCTCACGGAACTGGGCTTTTTTCCGTGGGGACACATACTTGCGTACCTGTCTTTGTGCTGGGAGCGTGCCGCTTGGCGCGCTCCCAGCACCGAGAGTGTGGTGTCACTGAGAGCCCCGGGTCCCGTTCTAACGATTGGGACCCGGGACTCCCGATTCCGGGTCACGTGATCGCTGTGATAGCCTCTGATTGGCTATCACAGTGATCAGTCACTGTGCAGCCCGGCCCCCCCTTGTTTTTTTTCTCTTCATGAATGGAGAAGAGAGATACATTGTATCTCTCTAACTCCTGGCATAGAGAGAAAAAAATGTTTGTTAAAAAAAAAAAAGAAGATAAATAAATAAATATTAAAAAATAAAAGAAAAAATAAAGAAAAATACCTAGATCAAGGTTTGATCTAGTTCAGTGCCAGGGTTATTGTTTGGGTCAAGGTCAGGGTCAAAGGTCAAAGGTCAGAATTAAAAAAAAAAAGGTATCAGTGTCAGTTAGTGTTAATGTCAGTGTCAGTGTGTTTTAGGTAAAAAAAAAAAAAAGACAAAAACAAAATGCGCACTATTGTTTCTGGGCTGTACTGCGGGTACAAACAACAAATAACATACACATATATGGTATCGCTGCGATCGTCAAGAGCTGGAAAATTTATTTTCGATTGTTCTTTGGTGGTAGATTATGGTCGTAACAAGAAACACACAGCAAAATAAAAAAATTATTTTTTTTACTATTTTGGGCCAGTTTTCCATTGATAATAAAAAGAAAAATTAGGAGCTATTCATTACCGTTTACCACCAAATGAAAGTCCAATTTGTCCTGAAAAAAATCAAGGTATAATCCACCTGGATGTACAAAGTAGTTGTGGTGATATGTACGGTTTTACTATCACATGTCAACGTTGCAGAATTGTGCTTAGGCATTTAGATTTGTTTTACCCTTAGGTGCAAAGGGGTTAACCTTGGCAAGTGCCTCAGCACCCCTGACACCTTGGGTGTGTCCTTAGTAGAGTTAGATTAGTCATTTTTGTAGGGTCACCCTGAAATGAGATTCGAAACCTTATAGTAAATAACAACGTAAATTGTCAAGTAATTTTCAGGTAAACATGGTATAACAGTGGAAAATTTAGCAGAATTCACTTAAAAACTATGGCAAACTCAAAGCAGACCAGCATAATCTATAGCTCTCTCCACTATGTGAGCCGGGAAGGGCAACCAGTTAGGTACCAAAACAGCTAGAGGATAAGTTGCCAATGGGCTCTTGAAATGTGAGAGCTAAGCCTAGGCCTCTGTAAAAGAGGGATGGCAATCTACTGAGAGCTGTGCTTAAAAGCTTGGTGAACTATGTACAGTCTCTAAATTAATTCTTCTGTTGGCTACGTTGGGGCCCTTGAAGATGTTGGCACACTTTCATATGTGGGGTATTTTTGCACTTGATGTAGTAGTCTTAAGAAACTATGGGTCCCTTGGAACACTGAAGTGGGAGGGGGCCAGCAAAGGGGGTTAAAGTGATACTGAACACACACTGTTTAATTTACATTATCCCTTCTCTTTCTGTATGTGGATGATGACTCTGTAAATATTTAAATAAAAAAAAAAAATCTAAGTACCTTTTTTCTAATTGATATACAGTTGTCACATGACCCAGCTCTTTCCCAGCCTGTCTGCAGGGAAACAGTGGCAGGAGGAGCTTCTATTTCTCTGCTGCTTGTCACATGTTCAAAATTTAAAAAAAAAACAGCCTTTGGGATGCGGTCTAAAAATAAATAACAATAAACGGTATATCTGAAATTAAATCTTTATTATTTTTGGCAATAACATGGTGTGGGTGGATTTCTGCCAGTCACAGGCTGTGTCACACCCTTCCAGCCTATGTTCTAGAACAGTGGTGTCAAACTGGTGGCACTCCAGCTGTTGTGAAACTACAAGTGCCATCATGCCTCTGCCTTTGGGAGTCATGCTTGTAACTGCCAATCTTGCAATGCCTCATGGGATTTGTAGTTTGGCAACAGCTGGAGGGCCACCAGTTTGACACCCGTGTTCTAGAATAAAAGGAAGGTGATGCCTCCATCAATCAAGATGTAATATCCCACCCCTATTGTGTTTAGCTGGTTAGTGGGCATGGAGGAGGGAGGGAGTGGGCTGTCATTTACCATTGTGTATATTGTATGTGATTCACATGGGCTGCTCAGATGTGATAGGGAGGAAAGGCTCAGCATAGAAACTCACTGGATTTTGAGCCTTTTCTGTGGCTCTGACAATTCCAAATGTTACTTTAATACTTGACATTATGTACATTGTGATGCTTTGTCATTTGTACTGTTATTTTGTATACCTAAGTTGGCATCCTATCTGCCTTTTTAATGTATGTCACTTGAAAAAATAAAAAAGTCTTAAAAAAAGAAACTCACTGAAAACTGAGCATGTGCAGTAGCTGCCAACACTGCTCTGCAAAATTCCCAACTGCAGTGGGGACATCAGCAGGATCAACCAGGTGTTTTTGCAAAATACAAAAAAAGAATCCCGTAGTGATTGGGTGAGTATGACCAGCATGTAATACAGCATTTATTGTTAGTTTTTTATAATGTGGGTTTAGTGACACTTTAAGGTTCTGCAAAAAAAGACTCTGATCAAACAGGACTAATGGTGCTCACTAGAGGGCAGTTGTGAAGTAGCAGTAAAGGCAAAGGGTGATATGTTTTCCCAAGGGGTATGCACAGTATCAACAAGGAGGTCAGTAATGGTTTAATGATCCATTCAACAACTTCTCTGGGTCTGTTATAGCTGGCTTCTTCTGGTAGAGGAGGCCCCTTTAAGGTGGTGTTGAATCCAGGTGGCTTCCTGTGGTGAACGGATGAAATGAATGATGAACCCTGTGGCTCACTAGAGAACAGTTGTGAAGTAGCAGTAAAGGCAAAGGGTGATACGTTTTCCCAAGAGGTATGCACAGTATCAACAAGGAGGTCACTAATGGTTCAATGATCCACTCAACAACTCCTCTGGGTCTGTTATAGCTGGCTTCTTCTGGTAGAGGAGGCCCCTTTAAGGTGGTGTTGAATCCAGGTGGCTTCCTGTGGTGAACGGATGAAATGAATGATGAACCCTGTGGCTCACTAGAGGACAGTTGTGAAGTAGCAGTAAAGGCAAAGGGTGATACGTTTTCCCAAGAGGTATGCACAGTATCAACAAGGAGGTCACTAATGGTTCAATGATCCACTCAACAACTCCTCTGGGTCTGTTATAGCTGGCTTCTTCTGGTAGAGGAAGCCCCTTTAAGGTGGTGCTGCATCCAGGTGGCTTAATGTGGTGAACGGATGAATGATGAAACCTGTGGCTCAACAATGGTCTCTGAATTAGTCCTGCGCACCACCTAGTCTGGATTCTATGCTCTGGATCCCTGGCGGCACAAAGGACAGGCCTCTGTGCAGGACTTGATGGCAGCAGCCATCTGCATTCTCACCAGCCTCCTAAGTTCTCTCTCACTCTAGCAGGTTCTTCCCTTTACTCTCAGTGGTGGCAATCTCCCAACTGGCCACTGCTCTTTCCTGGACATTTCTGTATATCTAGCTCCTCCTAGTCGCCTCCTATCTCCAGATACACTGTAGTTTCCTGTAGTTTCCTTGCCTGCACTGCCCATAGTCCAAACTACATTCAGTGTTTCCATCCTTGAAAAATCAGTAGCTCAAAGTCCATAGAAGCTTCATCTAGTGATGAAGACAGACAATTTTAACAATGGCAATATATGACAGAGTCTGTATAGTCCAGTAATAGCATTTCTGGTTACATATAGGGGTCTACTGATCAAGCGTAGAAAAAAAAAAAGGATTGAGAAATGGGTGTGTCACCCGAAAATGAATAACCACTCCCATTTTCATCACGTATGACGTCACCACGCTCATAGGGTTGGCATGTTACACTTCCTTGCTGCCCACAGTGGTTATCATCTATG